TCATTTTCATGCAATAAACGTGTATTTTCTATTAAAAAATTCCGGTTTCATATTTACATACCTGGTACATGCAAGACCCGCGCAACGACAGTCTCGGCCACTTTGCATGAATTAAGAACCTGTCTCGTCTCGTAAGCTCACAACTCAGCAGAAAGAAGAACAAGAAGTTTTTCTGCGATCGGTAAGTGCACATAAAGAATTATTATTTTCCATCTTACTAATAAAAAATAATTGTAATAGTAATAATTTTTTGTTTTTTTTTTATTTACAGGTGCCTTTACTAGTTTGGCTCGAGTTAAAAATTGCAGACACACGAAGTAGATTGCCAGAAAATCAACAACTGCGTCATCCGCCTGCTGAGCGAAAACGACAGATAGCTCCAATTTGGGAACCACTGCAATAAGGTACTACGAGTACCGGTCGTAGTATACGCCGACCTGGAGTGCGTCCTGCGAAAGACGGAGCCCAAGGAAGACGCGTCGTCGTACTTATCAACACGAGGTTTTAGTATAGGATACTACGTGCGATACTTCGTACAACGACACGTTATCGTCATATCGGTTCCGTCGCGATGAAGATTGCGTCGCGTGGTTCGCGCGACAACTCCAAGACTTGGCGCATCGTGCAAAAAATATCGTATCTGGTAACATGCTATAGAAACATTGTCGAAAGAACAATGGCAGGCGTACCGTAGCGCGACGCGTTGTCACATTTGCGAGAAACCGTTCGCGCCGGACGACACGCGGTTTCGCGATCATTGTTACTTAACCGGTAGATACCGCGGTCCAGCACATTCAAACTGTAATCTTAATTGTAAAAATTAATTATATATTCCAATCGTTTTTCATAATTTATCGGGCTACGACGCACACTTTATAATTAAGCAAATTGCTACCGCGTACGAAGAACAAGTAGATGTGTTACCAATAACCAAAGAAAAATACGTTTCGTTCACAAAACATGACTATAGCACTAAAGACAAAAATGAAAATAATTTTCAGAAAAATTGTTGTAACGTCCGGTGCGCCTATAGCGTAGCGCCCCATCCGTTTACCAAGCGAGCGCGAGCACGGAATATAGCGAACGAATATAATATGTGCCGACTATAAGCGCGTTCAGCTATAGGCCAAGCCACCGAAACCGTCGCGATTGAACGCCGCGCATACTGCGCCTGCGCCAAAGTATAAAACGCTAAAAACGATGCAAGAATGCACTTTAGCGAGAAAACATTGTTAACACGGGGTAGGGAATGACCAATACAACAACCGACCTCGACGCAGCTGCAGGGAAAAACCGCAGCGCTACGAAAAAAACAATTAAAACGCATAACGCCAACGCAATGCATTGCCGTGCAACCCCGAATGCACCAACCGGTTACAAAAGGCCCCTGAATACGAACAAAATCATCGCGAATAAAACCAAAGCGCATACAATTGAGAAAAAGCCTTAAATAAACATCAAATTCCACGCGCACAAAGAATAAAAGGATTCGGAAAGATGCAAGAAACTTATGATGAAAAAACACACAAAGAACAGATGCAAGTCCTGCAGCAACGGGCTGCAGTACGCGATGACTGAGCGCGCCAGTACGAAACTCGCGACCCCCGCAGCGAAATAAAAGGCCCAAACTAATTAAAACCCAATTATCATTAGAATAAATCATAATTTACATAATCGGCACGTAATAGTGATTTCGCAATGGCACGTGGACGAGAACATCCCCTTGCAGCGAGGGGCCACGAAATAAACAGTATATAAAGCAGAGCGTTCACAAAGACAAGCGTCCTTACTTCTTCCCAATTCTATAAACGGTAAGTACTCCTAGCGCTTTAAGTAGCGCTCTGGATCTTCCTGTATTTCCTACAAAATCCAGCCCCGATCGTGCGCCACCCACGGCGTCTGACAAGCTATTTCCACTCCCAGTCTCGACAGCGCTGTCCATAGCGACGCCGAGACTAGCCTCCAGCGGAACTCCAAACGAGCGCCTGCCACGGCGTCGAGGCCTCCGCACTCCTACCCTCTCTTTCCAACCACCATACAACGTTTTTTTTGGGCGTAGATGCCACAAAAGAAACGTCCGAGGGGTAAGCGAGGAGGGTGGAGGGTCCACCTCAAGGAGCTCCAACGAGGGCTCATCGCGGAGGGAAGTTTCGACCCCTCCAGATATTGGGGGGAAGACCTTAGAAGCCTCGAGAAGGTCGCCATCGGCGCGACAACTCCGCCAGCGGGAACCGCAGATTCCGGGTTACCAGCAGACAGAGCCGACATTAGGGAAACCAGAACTCCCGCACCTCCGCCCCCGCGACCTGTACCGCCTCGGTCTCCACCGCACGTTGCGCCCATCCGGAAGGCTACAAGGCCAATACTAATTACTACTAAACCCCGCGTCTTAAACCACATGCCGTGTAGTATTAATATTAAATTAATCAAGTCTTAATTGCCAGTCTCTTCTTCATTTCCTTGCCCTTAAGGCTCCTTTCTCTACCCTTCCCTGTTCCCGTTACGTACAGACACCAGAGAGCATGGATAGAGCGAAGCGAGTGATGAGATATTACAGCCGCCCTAGGATAGAGATCTAAATATCTTCTTAAATTCCTTGTACACTTTCGTGTGTCACGGGTGCTCTATCTGACAATTCCTCCGAACTCTCTGGTTCATTTTTCCTGAACTAACGAAGGAATACGGAAGCTCGAAATCCCGTTAAAAATAATAAAACATAATTCTCAAAAGTACGATAACAATTCAATTCGTGCCTTATAAAGGCACTGGTGACAGCAGCCTGCCCCCACGCGTAAACACGCGCCGAAGGCAAATCTCTCCGGAAGCCAAGGCTTCACCCCGCGCGCCCCCGCTCTGCGCCCCGCGTCCAACGAAACCTCTGCAGCGTCTCGAATCACAACAATCGCGACGAACACGCGACTTCGGACGTAACATTGTGTAAAATTACGTTTTATAGTTTTATTTAAATTTCTCAGTACAAGCCTCGATAAATTGGCGTCATTTCTAAGCAGAGACAAATTAAAAATCGTAGGTTCCAAATTTTCAACATTACGGACGAAGAATTTGAATTACTCACGCGAAATGGCGTATTCTCGTACGAATACGTTGACTGCGTCGACTAATTAAATAAGCGATGCTTGCCACCTCGCGAATCATTTTATAGTTCGTTGATGGGCGATACAGTATCCGACAGCGATTAAGCTCACGCCGCGAACGTATGGCAGCGATTCTCCATCTGAACGCTCGGCGAGTACAGTGATCTGTACTTGAAAACAGCTGTCTTGTTATTGGCTGACATTTTCGAAAATGTTCGTGAAAGTTGTGTTGCGAGTTACGGTCTCGATCCCGGCATTATTACACCTTGCCTGGTTTTCACGTGGGACGCAATGCTAAAATATACCCGCGTAAGATTTGAGTTGCTCACCGACATCGATACGATCATGTTCATCGAGCGCGGTATACGCGGTGGTCTCAGTCAATGTTCCGATAGATACGCGCAGGCTAATAACAAGTACATGTGTTCGTACGACTCATCGAAACCATCGTCGTACTTGATGTACTACGATGTCAATAATTTATACGGGTGGGCGATGTGCTACCATTGCCATACGCCGAATTTCGATGGGTCAACGACGTTGCGAACTTTGACGCGAGCGCGATCACTCCGGATACGCCCACCGGTTACATTTTCGAAGTCGATCTCGAGTATCCGCAGCATCTGCACGATCAACACATTGACCTGCCTTTCTGCCCGACGCGCGATAAGCCGCTCGGCAAGCGCGAGGATAAACTTCTAGCGACGCTGTATTATAAACAGCGTTACGTCATCCACTACCGTAATCTGCAGCAATGTACTCGTCACGGTCTTCGCGTAACAAAGATTCATCAAATACTACAATTTGCTCAATCTCCATGGCTCCGCGATTACATTGAACTTAATGCACAATTTAGAACTCGCGCGAAAAACAATTTCGAAAAAAATTTATAGAAATTAATGAACAACGTGGTTTTCGACAAGACCAAGGAGAATATGCGCAATCACGTCGACGTAAAATTATTAACAAAATGGGACGGACGATACGGTGCGAAGGCAATGATCGCAAAACCGAATTTCCACGGTCGTAGCGTCTTTGCGGATAATCTAATCGCCATCGAAATGCGCAAATTCGAGGTGAAGTTCGACAAGCCAATTTACGTGGGCATGTGTATACTCGACATATCGAAAGTCGGCTTGTATGAATTTCACCACGAATATACGCAGGGATGGGAAGTAACTCGTTACTTGTAACGAAGTTACAGTTAGAGTTACTTTTTTTCGGTAACTGTAACTTAACTTCGTTACTTTCTTTCCATCTGTAATTATAACTTAACTTAGTTACATCTTTTAAGTAACTAGTAACTAATTTAATAGTTACTTTCATAGTTATTTTCTATATTTTAAACTTATTTGTCAATTTAGTGTGCGGTAGTTTCATTTGGCGCTGCAAATACTTCGAAACATTTGATTAATCAGAAGAAAGAAATTTAATTAAAGCGTTCAATGAACTCTTGTCTTGTTTGGTTTATATTTTTGGATCTAATGGAATCCGCCAATCAAATACAAGAGCGCTCAGAGAACGGTTGTAGGTGCACTAAATGCACTTGATCAGTGATCACTGAGCCGTTGTTTTCTGAACGCAATCACGTAACCCATACATGTTGCTGCGTGTTCGGGTATTCCTTCATGTTTTCTACGTGACTGGTAACGTGCTACAGATTGGATAGTGATAATACGCAGTTCACAGTGTTTACACACACACACATACGCATACGCATACGTGCACACGCACGCACGCGCACGGAGAGAGAGAGAGAGAGAGAGAGAGAGAGAGAGAGAGAGGGAGAGGGAGAGGGAGAGGGAGAGGGAGAGCGAGAGCGAGAGCGATAGGGTGAGAGAGAGAGAGAGAGGGAGGGAGTTGTACACTGTTAATCAGAGATATCAGTGTGTTACTGATATTAGAGTGAAATTCGTGAAATTGTAAGGAACAACTATATTCCTGTTTAAAAAACTGCGATTCTTGAATTGACTATCAGACACTCTAATACTAATACCGTACACTAAAAAAAAGTTTCACGTATAATTTTGGGACCTACTATTAAAGGTATGTATTTATGCACGTAAGTAAAGTTACAACTTATAGCTTACATATAAAATTATTCAGTACTTATTTAGAATGCCCTCCTAGCCTCAAATCTTTTTAAAAATGTATTAATTCGTTGTATATTTATTAGATCTGTTTACGTAGCTTGTACTTTTTGCACTCAGCATTTTCGCTTTCTCTCTTTTCAACGCCCAAATATATATCTATCTCATTTTAAGTTTAAAAACTTTTGGGGATTTCAAGTGTAACGCGAATAGATCTACTCATAACGACAAATCTGACAGAAAAACGCGGCGGTCTGCCTAGCAAAACAAATTATTAAGCATTAAAAAAGTTCGAGACTTCAGAGATTAAGATATCTCTCATAACATTTTCAATTCAAGAAGATAGCAACGAATTAATAATATGTGATAAGAGAAAATAATTAATATTGTGAACCGAGATAAATTATAATTCTCTATGTATAATTTTATTCACCATTTTATGTTTTCTAGTTAGACTTACTTATTTTTAACTTCGATAATACTTAATAGAACTTAATACGAAGTCGAACCGTATATTTTGTTTATATAAGTTAAATTATTATTAAGAAATTAACATTAAACAGCTTGCTTTGACTCCTAGCTCCTTAATTTATAATTTGATTATTAAAATTTTATTGAGCCTTATAGATTTGTTTTTCATTTTATAATTGAGGTCAAGTTTATAGAAATATTTACGCTGATGAATTATTTCCAATTTTTTCTAATAGCAAATTCGATTAGACGCATTCAGTACACACTGGTTCACATTAAAATATAATTTATGTCGTACATAAATTATAATGTAAAGAGATATATGCTTATTAATCTTATTATGTACATAGAAACCGTGCAATTCTCATTTTTACACATATTTATGTTATTTACACTTTTTATTTAAAATATATCTATATTTGTACAAAAAAATATCAAAAACTTATTGTTTATTTTTATAATTTAGAAATAAAGAGTCGCAAACAATGGACAAGGAGGCATCTGAATCTCCGAATAAAGGTAAAAGTAGTAAAATGCCATGGCCAGCATATGTAGAGATATTTGAAGAAGAGATATTTCAAGAAAAATTTGGAAATGACAAAAATTTGTCATTTTTGTGCAAAATTTGCATCAACAAGAAAATCATACATGCAAACAAAACTTCTACTTCCAATTTAAGAAAACATATGAATGTAAGTCTTCTTTATTAATATGTTTTTTTATTAACACAAAATTGTTACTATTTGCATGAATTGTTGTCTACGAAATATTTATAATAACATAAATCAAATATTTTGTACACGACAATTTGTAAGTAACGGTTAATATGTTTGATTTGTGATACTGAAGACGACCAGATATATGGTCGAAACGTTTATCAAGATATATGTAAAGTAAATTAATATATTTATTGCACGGTCACCCTGCGTTGGCTTTTACGCTCCTTTTTCGTTCAAATTTGATTTTTTTTTTAATTAAACTTAGATTTCCATGGAATCTTTTAAGTTATGTGAAATATTCAACCTTAAATTAAATATACATACAATAGTAGGTATAAAAAATTAAAGCTGGAACAAATGAATGTTTTTAATTTAAACAATTTCTGATTATAATATTTGTAGGCAAAACATCCACACCTCTTGGACACCATAGATAAAAACAAAATTAAATTGTCAAAGAAACGTCCAAATGAAGATTCTGTAAATAATATTCCAAATAAACATCATACATTGGAAAGATGGGGCGCTGGGAATTCAATCGCTACTCAGAAAGGACTGGATAAAGCAATACTACAGTTTATTATTGAAAATATTCAACCTCTTTCCATTGTAGATAGTCTATCATTTATAAATTTGATTAGAATTGGACTTTCTTCACATATCAATATAATGTGCAGAAAGACATTAAAAGAAAGACTTTGTCAAATGTATCATAGAATGAAGAATGTCCTAGAAAAAAAGTTGACAGAAATAGAAATAGTTGCGACAACGGCAGATTTGTGGAGCAAAGGAAAAAGGTATAATATGTGTAACTTATATTAATAAACTCTGTTACCGACTCGGTCCGGCGTCCATTTGATAGGGAGTTGGAGGCGCTACGTGGCGCGCAGATAGGCAGTAAGGTGGACACGACGTTAGTTTTTAGTTTTGCAAGTTTATGTTCGAATGCAAGTAACACACACATTGTCTCGTGCTTACAAATAAAGCAATTTTAAGTTTTTATCCCTTGGCATCATTCACACCAATCCATAACATAATTTTGGCGCCCAACGTTGAGGCACGAGACGAGGAAGAAATCAGAAAAGCATAAGTGAAAGCAGACAGACGCATAAAGACATTCTAGAAATCGTCGCAGTGAGAACGGACGGAAAACATGGCGGAATTGAAGAAGGCTAAATTAACGCGAGCTCGAGTCAAAGGACAAGTGACGCGGATTTTCAATTATATCTCAACAGAACAAGGCATCACATATCAACAAGCAGAGACCCGTTGTCACAAACTGGAAGAATTGTGGGTAGCGTTCAATGAAAACCAACTACAACTGGAAGAATTACGCATAAAAGAAGAGGAACAATTGGAAGATGTGGTGAAAGAGGAAGAAGGAGAGAGAATCGTCTTCGAAACCAGGTACTATGAAGCAACAGACAAGGTACGCAGCGTCATGGCAGAAACGCAACAAGCAGCAAATTTAGTGGTAATGCAAGAACAGCAAACGAATAGGGAACAGCCTCCAGGTACGATTAATGTTAAATTACCGACGCTAACCTTACCCGCGTTTGATGGTGAGTACGAAAAATGGATGTCTTTCAAAGATGCATTTACGTCTTTGATACATGATAATCGAAAGTTAACGGCAGTTCAGAAATTCCAATATCTGCATAGTACGGTAAAGGGCGAAGCCTTACAAGTAATTAGTGGACTGAATACAACGAGTGAGAATTATGTAATTGCTTGGGACCTTTTGAAGGGCCACTATGAAAATAAGAAATTGATTATCAACAGTCATTTGACATGGTTATTGGAATTTCTGCAAATTACAAAGGATAAGCATAAAACATTGAAGCAGTTTATAGTACATATTAGCACTCATTTGAAAGCGTTAGAAGTGTTAGGACAACCCGTCAATCAATGGGATGCTATCATTATTTTTCTTGCTAGGAACAAGTTGGATTTTCATTCATAGCGTGAGTGGGAGGATGTAGTCGGACAACAAGAACAAGATCACATGCCAACGGTAGAAGAATTTCTTAAATTCTTGCAGGAAAGATGTCGAACATTTGAGATGTTGAACAGTGGAAAGGTTAAACAGGAGCCTACAACACAAGCTAACACCAGTAAGAAGGTTGAGAAGCGAGTAGCGTTGGCAGTCACTACGCAAGCATGTCCGATTTGTCAGGAAAAGCATCACATTTCTAATTGCGAGGAATTCTTAAAAAGATCGGTTCAGGATCGAAAGGCAGAGGTAAGAAAGAAACAGCTGTGTATTAACTGTCTAAGAGCAGGGCACTATGTAAAAGAATGTAGGTCTTCAAGTTGCCAAATCATTAATGGTGTCATGCAATGTTCGACGGAAATTAGATATTCCACGAGTCTACAGATCGAGTCCCGTCATACCAACTTTAAAGTGCAGATAGATTGTTTGGTGCTTCCTACCATAACAGAACGATTGCCACAAGTCAAATTAAACAAAGAAAACATTAAGTTACCTGACGACGCTAGAATAGCAGATCCCTCCTTCAACAAGCCAGGTAAAATAGACCTACTGATAGGCGCTGGCTTATTTTGGAAATTATTGTGTGTAGGTCAGATACAAGGTGGCCGAGGGAATCCTACGTGGCAAAAGACTCTTCTTGGATGGGTAATCGGAGGCGAGATGGTGCACGCGAATCCTAACAAAGCATCAACGTCGCTAATCACAACGAATCAAGCTCTACAAGAACAAATCGAGAGATTTTGGAAACAAGAAGATATTCAAGAACCGCGCTTACTCAGCAAACAAGAAGGTTACTGTGAAGAGCATTTTATCAACACATATTCAAGAGAGTCGGATGGAAGATTCATAGTTAGTTTGCCGAAGGATTCTCAAATTGCTCTCGGAGACTCACGGGAGACCGCGATGAAGAGACTGCTCGCGCTAGAAAGAAGATTTAAACGGCAGCCAGCCCTCAAAGAAGAATATGTTCGCTTCATGGAAGAGTACAAGGATAAGAGACACATGAGTACGGCATCTGGGGATGTCGCTTCCAGCAAGAAGCCATCGTACTTTATACCACATCAGCCTGTACTTCGGCCCGAAAGCACTAGCACAAAGCTCAGAGTAGTATTCGACGCATCGGCCAAGACAGACAACGGAAAGTCACTCAACGACATGTTGCTGCCTGGACCTAATTTGCAAAACAACTTGTTA